GTTGCGGGAGCGGTTGGGCGCATCAACTGGACGCGACGCTTTGTCAGAGAAGTCGGTCGAGACGGAGGCGATGAGGTTGTTGCCGAGCCGGCCTCGGGCGAATCGGAGAATCGGTAACCCGTCCGAGGCCTTGCGGGGCGGGGCCTCGGGTGAGAGGGCCTCGGCGAGTCGGAGAGTCATTGCGGCGCGGGCCTCGGGCGAGTCGAAGAATCGGCCGAGTCCCTGTGATCGTCCTTTGGCATTGATATAAGCGAGGCCTAAGGACTTTTTTCGGTTCTTGCTTAGGGTATCCCCATTTATGGTATCCGACAGGTAGGATCCAATTCGATGGTGGACATGTCCATTAATTTTAAAGACATACGGGCCAGGACCCTTGTTTATATCCATGTCAATTTTAGCACCAAGTGAAGTGAAAGCAAACATGGAGTTGTATGAACGTATAGATTTGATGAAGTATTTAGAGAAAGTATCACCATTTGGGTTCAACAAACCAGCTAGAAATGGAGGGGGATCTTTTAGAAGAGGCAAGCGCACCTTACCTCCCCTACAACAGAGATGAAAACGTACACGGTCTGCTTCACCTCGATACGTTCTTTTCACACGCTCTTGGTACCACAACTGCGCACCGCAATACTGACACTTGTGCGCAGGAGGCCCGTAGTATGATATCTCGTCGTCTGCAACCACCACCAAGGAAAATATGATTTTTCTGCTTGCAATATAGAGACACAGACATGCAAACAAGTACCTTCTTTCCTTGCCCTTGCTTTTAGCCTCTGACACTGCTGCCCTCCCTCTGTTGCCCTCTTACTGTAACCTGTAACCCTACCTACAGCAACATTAGATAATTAGTTGGTCATCCCAGAGAATCTACCCTAGCTAGTACCCCAATATAATATAGGGGTCCATGGCTTGCAAAGAGCGCACCAATATCTTCGGATTATAAACATACTCCCTCTGTCTCTAAATATCTGCGTTTTCGCTTTCCAAGAAATAACTTTGACTAAATATATATTAAAAATATTAATATTTATCGTACATAATTAGTATCATTGGAAAGATCTTTGAATCTAATTTTTTAACAAATTTATTTAGAGATACTAATGTTGCACGCTTTTTCTCTAAATCAAATCAAACTTACGGCACGTACACCAACGGCGACAGTTATTTAGGGACGGAAGAAGTACTTCAATAACTACCTTCTTTCTTCGCTTTTATTATAGATCTTCGGCGCTCCTGCCTCTCCCATATAGTTCTCCCAGTAGATGGTGTAACAACTCCTGCAACATTGATAGCAAATTTGCTGCTTATACACATACACAATAAGCAAATATATAATGCAACCACAAGAGAGCGCACCTGGCTGGGAGGAGGAGCCTTCTCTCCGAACCTTCTTCCTTGTATTGCTAGCAGGCGCCCCATCCATGAAACATTATTGGTGGATCACCTATAGGGAGCATAAAATCATCTCCATAGATAAAGGTACCAAACTCAAAAGTGACAAGAAGCATGCACATATGACATATTTTCTTGTTGAACCGATTGCAAGGAAAAGGTCTAACATGATTTAAAGGCCGGCAAATTTTGTGCCTGTAAATTTACAATGTTTCTTGATCTGAGGTGGTCACAAAATTAAATGTATGGAAGGTGTGTGGTACTACTTTTTTTAATATGCTTCATAGGACCATCAGTTTCAGTATATCTAACTTGATATTCTGGCACCAAATGTCTCCTAGTTCAACTTTCACTGCCCTACACGAGCATCTCAAATAGGCAGTACTCGAAGAACATAACAAATGCAAAGACAGATGAGGGGGTGCCGTGGAACAGTAGGAAGGTCATGATTATATAGGCAAGAGGAGAATCTCGGAACGCACTATCGGTAAGAACACGACGAATAAGAAATAGACATGGCCTAGGTTCACATGGGCACATAATGCATGGTTAATTTAATCTACTGCGAACAATGAAAATTTTAAATCCATGTACTAAACTGGTAAGAACGATGTAGTAATCAAATTCAACCCATGCACTGGTCTGGGAATAACAAAGAAATCAACTTTTCAAAATATCAAAGGTACTAATTGGCACTAATGACCCATGGAACAAGTAATACAGTAGCAACAAAGTACAAATGATGCACTAGTACGATGGTGACATTTCATGCATGCATGTGATGCCCTTTTGTCTTCTTTGTGTGGAAGTGCATGATGGTGACATTTCATGCATGCATCCATCTCATGCCTTTTTGTCTTCTTCGTGTGGAAGTGCATGAATGCTAGGATAGGAACACATTGTATGCCAAACCTGTTGATGATATTGACCATTCGTACATGTACAATGTATGGAGGGTTGTCCAAAGCTTCTTTTTATCAATGATATAATGCACCAGCTATATCAAGAAATTAAGGGCATGGAAGTGTTTGAGAAAATGTATGGAAGTGTTGGATAAAAGGGCAATATCAAGAGCATGCATAATTAGCGAGAAGGGAGGTCATTCGATCAGTGCTTGTGAGAAGGTACGAAAATGTTGCATGAAAGGTCTGCCTCGGAGGACAGGAAGCCTGTCATGTATGCTACCATCTATGCTCTTTAGAGAAGAAGACAAAAAGAAAAGCATGCATGAGCTATGTAGGTGTATCCATATGGCATAGTATTTTGGACACAGCATGCGAGATATATTGTAGGAGCATAGTAACATAGTGCTGATGAGAGCGACGGATGGTTGATGACAGCAAGGTTTGAGATATGTAGTAGCATAGTTTTGAGAGCGATATATCGACAGCGTGAGAAGAGAAAGCGCAAGACAAAAATAGGAACACATGATCTAAACCATACAAACCATATCAGACGGGTCTAAGAGACCAGACTATTGTGGACATGCTCAGAGGCCGCAGAGACGGCGCGGCCTCATACTTTTAATGCCGTCACACTCACATATATTTTGTGAAGCTCTTATTACAGCTCTGGTTGTCAATCAAGATTTTAGCTTCCTAATTTTGATATTTATGAGTTGATGCATATTTTTTTCTCTGCTTGTTAAGTGAAGCCATAGTGCTTATCTACATGTTATTCAAAAATCTCATTTTGTATTTTATGCAAAATATAGATTTTAGTCCTAGATTGTACTTTTAGTTACTACAGTAGTATATAAATAAGCATATCAACTACAGTGCTCAAGATGTTGAATTTTCTCTATCAACAAAGTACTACTCCCTCCATCCCAAATTGTAAGACGTTTGACTTTTTTGTGCAAATATAGTCAAATTTAAGTCATTCTTGAAGAATTTTTATTAATAAACCAAACCATGACGAAAGAAGTGATATTTTACACAAATTTTTGAATAAGACGAGTGGTCAAACTTGGTGTCAAAAAAGTCAAACGTCTTACAATTTAGGATGGATTAAGTAGTATACTAGCATATATTTTTTAAAAGGATATTTAAAAAATATATGCTAGTATACTAGCATATATTTTCTATGAAGTCTAACGCTTACAATTAATATGTCAATGTAGATATGTTATGATGCTTGAGTCAGCATTTGTAAATTTATTTACTGTGGAAACTTGCATAATTTATTTTCATAGAGTATTAATTAAAAATGTACTGTTTTTGCCACTGCTACGTGATTCATTAACAATTTTTTTTATTATCATTATTAAACTTTGGAAATGTATACTTATCGCTCAGAAGTACATGTATACTTAGTCTGTATAGTGGCACCTAACATATATCACAAATTCATAATAGCATGTATGGGTAATTTAGAATAGTTTAGTTTATTTTAGATAATAACATATATGAATAATTCAGATGTTTGTTATGACTATATTTTATATGCTAGAGATGAGTAATCGTATTGTAATTATAGGAGCTACTTAATTTAGATTATCTTTCATGCATGGCGGCGCTAGGTGATTTAGATGTAAATTTATGGTATTACTTTAATTTTTTCCATGATTGCATCTATCGGTAATCATGAAGCTAATTGGATCAATCATTATTATTCAGGCAAATTAGACCAATGATTATTATTGTCCGTGATAGTTATAGTCAACCAAATTGATGACGTGGTATCTATGTTTTATCTAAGAATTTTCAAGGACTTCTTTCTTAATCTAGTGCGCCCTATGAAGATTATTTGATCTCAATGCTGTATAAGATATGAGAAACTAGTGAACATCACTGTCACTATTTTAAAATATGGGGTAAAGTATATGCTTCAACCTTTAAGTTCCACGTTAGTCCGATTTTCATCCCTAAACTATGAAATCTGGTAACAAACACCCTCCAACTATTTAAACCTAACGAATTTGGTGATCTAACTAGTTTTATAGGTGGTTCTCAGTTTTGTAAAAAAACATAAAAAGCCAATTTGATCCCCTAAATTCGTAATTATTTTTTTAACTTAGAAAAATATGAAACTAGTATCGATTTTTTTCTAAAATGTTACCTACATGGTTATGATCTATATATAGTTATTTGACACTAGCTAGTTTAATTTGTTCCTATTACCTGTAGTTGTGCTTATTATTTAATACAAATAATATCTAAATAACTCTAAATAGAGCACCAACAGATAGATAACAAATTTTAGAAAAAAACTAGAATCAGCTTCATATTTTTTTATTTAAAATAAGTTAAATATGGATTTTAGAGATGAAACCACATTTTAATTGTTTTTAGAAAATAGAAAACCACCACCTATCAAATGAGTCAGAGGACCGAACTAGTCCGATTTCAACAACTGGAGGGTGTCCGTTACCTGGTTTTATGGTTTTGGGTAGAAATCCAGACTGACGTGCAACTTGAAGGGTGCCCTAACATAATTATGGTTTAGGGTTGCCGTAAGATTTTTCTATATTTATGGTTTCTTTTTGCACTAACATTGATTCCTAGGCTCTATAACATTGATCCTCTAAGAAAAAAAAATACAGAAATATGTACAAAATTAAAAAGGATGGAGTAAGAGACTTGGAATCAACGTTGGGCACTTACGACGTTGCCGCTCTTGGTGTCGATGAAATCTAGCAGGCTGACCCATGACTTGTGCGAGGCGGCCCACTGCGCCGCCACGATTTGGTCCTTAACTGTCTCCGCCTTCCTGAGCTCAAGTTAAAAATAAAACGGGGTCGCATGTGAATGTGATGGGTGCGCTAAACGTCAAGAGAAAGGCATGCAAATGGTGGTGTGCGTGTTGCTGCCTTACTTGTTTGCTTCGTCGCCGGCGTTGTCGTCCAGCCTCGACACGCTCAGGAGCAGTGGCGTGTAGGAGAGCTGCACCATCCAGATAGAGCTCACTTTAACTAGCTGCCCATTCAATATTTGTGATTTGTCCACAGAAACTAGAAATGGTCAATCTCACCGTGAAATCCTCCGGCGAGATCCAGCTATCTCCAAGCGCCACACCTAGCGCACGGCAAAAGAAACGAGAATTTCAATGCGCGCGCACGCACGCATCAACTGCTCCCCAACCAACGTCGATTTCGGTTACGTACCTCCGAGCGTGACGTTGAGCTCGCCGGCGCGGACGGCCCTGGCGACGGACGCGCCGAGCGTGGCGGCGTACTTGCCGCCGTAGGACTCGGCGACCAGGAACAGCGGGCTGGTCGCCAGGGTGGGCACCTCCTTCACCAGCCCCCTGACCACCGTCGTCATGTCCGCGGCCTGCTGCCAGTCGCTGGTCACGAACAGGCAGTCGTCCTCCACGTAGCTGTACCCTGTGCCGACCGGGTTGTCCTGTGCACGCCATGAAAGTCCGTCAGCGTCAGCGAGGACTATGCTTGTAAAATAAACATCACGACAGCAAAAAGATGATGAAGAAGAAGCGGGGGCAGACAAAATAGATAGAAGGAAGGCCACATCAGCTATCGCTCTCTGCGTCTCACTAACCACAAAGATGAGGTCGGCCTTCTGGAGCCACGTCGAGTTGCGCGGCTTGAGGTCGACGTCCAGCGGCCCCATCTCCAGGAAGTTACCGAGCCCGACCCCGGACGCGCCCTGCGAGAGCAAATACCATGGTTGATCACAACACTTGCTCATCAGGCCATGTTCTCGTGAAGCAGACCAGAGCACAGGATCCTGTGCCGAAGCCGAAATTGTGGTGTGACGAGGAAAGAGAGGGCAGCAGCTGCCTACCGGGCCGCCCTGCAGCCAGAGAACGGTCGGCCATGGCTGCGACGGCGTCGACGTCCTCTGCGGGCTCTTGTAGTACCACCAGAACAGGTGCGCCTCTGCAACAACGGCGACATGACATGTATACCTCAGCTCAGGACATGGAGTAGCTAGAAAGAGAATGCTCGATTATTGGCAAGCGATCGATGCGGAGGTAGCGTTACTCACTTGGCCGTACTTCGACGTACCCCCACAGCTCCGAGCCGTCGGGGGTGCCGGTGGTGATGGACGCGGCGCAACAGGCGTGGAACGAGACGAGGCAGAGGAGGAGGTGCAGAGGAAGCAGAGCAAGCGGGGAGTGGTAGCGCGACCTGTCCATGTCCAAGACGCGAGCGATGATGGACGCCGGCTTCTAGGTGTCAGTGTGAGCCGCGCTGTGGCCGAGAGGCGAGCGCTGAGAGCAGTTTAAATAGGTGGCGTGGCGGTGGCGCGCTTCTCACCCTACCCTGGCCACTGATTTGCCGAGGCAGAAGCGTTGTTTTGCATGCCTATGATTCCAACGGAGGCACTGCAGTTTCAGTGTGCAAAATCATCAGTCACATCATCGTATAAGTAAGAAAAGCCGAAAGCGTAACCAATCACCTTCAAAGCTTCGGTCGTAGCTACAGCCTACTTTCAATGTCTTCACTTAATCAGCAGGTAATATTTCTTTGGCTTCTAGGTTCAACCAGATTGGCATTGGCTTTGGTATAAAGCCAGAGATCTTTTTCCATATTGACATTCAGCCTGTTCGCTTGCTCATAAATGATCGTAAATTTTCAGCCGGGAACAGTGTTTTTCTCTCACACCAAACTAGCCAGCAGTAAATAATCCAAGATACGGCCTCCCGAACAGGCTGATTGCCCTAAGGCTAAGATCAGATAGGTTACTACTTGGCCGACGATCAAATAACGTGGATGGGTCGCAAAAGAGAGTACACGTCTCGTTTCCCATTTTTTAGTGTGGTCGTGGAGGATGTAACTTTTCCATTACCTGAAAACCAAGTTTTATCGCAGACCAAACAAATAGATAGCTATATATTAGCTTCAACTGGTTCTCTATTAAAGCTACCTACTACTTAGATCTTAAGCGTGTGTTTGGTTCCAGGACCACGTGAGATGGGCTGGATATGACCTAGTTTTTTTAGGTTGGGTTGGATCCATCTCGTGTTTGGTTGACAGGGATGAGTCCATTCCAGTTCTCTGTTTGGTTAGAACTTAGAAGGTTGGCCGATGAGGGACGAGGCAGCAGACATGCGTGGCCCACGTGTCATCCACCCCTTTGGTCTCTTCTTCCTCTTTTCTTCGTCGTCTTATCTCCCAGGCTGGTCCTCCTTCGCAGCTCCTCCTTCGCTCGGCCACGGCTAGCTCCTCCGACACGGTCTACTCCCTCGGCCGCGGCCAGCTCCTCTGGCACGGCCTGCTCCCTCAGCCGCGGCCAGCTTCTCCGGTGTGGCATGCTCCCTCGTTAGCGGCTTGCTCCCCGGGCCACGGCCTATCGGTGACCTGCCGCACCTCACGCCCGTGGCCTGCCGCACCTCGCGATCGCGTCCTGCTAGTTCTCCTCCGGCGCGGCCTTCTAGTCGTCCCTCTGCGCGACCGCAGCTTGCCGACGACACAGTTTACTGCCCTTTGCTCAGACGCGTCTCGGGGAGCCACAGTGGGGGTTGCGCATGGCCATGGCCGTCCGCTGCACATTGTCGAGGCGGCGCGTGCTCACCGCCGCTGGGGTTGGGCTTTTGTACACCGTCGCGTGTGGTCCGCCTCCTCCTCCGCACGCAGACCAAGTGGGATCGCTCGATTTCTCTGATTTGGAGGAACGGAGCTGTCGGTGTTTCGAACAAACACCGGCTAGTAAATTTATAATTGTTGCGCGTTAGGCTCAGATGGTGCACTAAAGGACACAATGTTTATACTAGTTCGGGCAGAATGGCCCTACGTCCAGTCTGCTGCTGCTCGTGTTATTAGTACCGAAAAAGGTTCGTAGTAGGGGCCACAAACGGTCGAGAGAGGGACGGGTCCCGAGTCTCTGATGGAAAGGTCGAAATGACGCCAAGAGCTTGGTTGCTGCTTGGCTGTGTCTTGTCTGTCAAAAACGATCCGTCCCCTTAGTGGGGTGTCCTGCCCTCCCTTTTATAGACCAAGGGGGGAGCAGGAGTTACAGACGGGAGAAAGAGAAAAAAACAAAAGGTAGAGAAGGTCCTTCGAGGGAGCCGGGTCTTCCTTTTCCCCTGTGCCTGCCCTGCTAACATGGCACATCGTGCCAGGAATGGCGTGTTCGTTGATCCTCATGGGACCGTGCCCTGGCCTCTTTCAGCAAGTGGGCGCGTCCTATCCTACACCGGCGGACGGTGCTGCGTGCCAGAGAGCCGAGCTGTGACCCTTCGGGGAGTAGACGGGGAAGTGACTATACATCCGTCACTGTGGATGATGTGAGCTCTGTCTTGGATCATAGTGGTTGTCGTATGCTCGTGTTAGTATCCACGTCCGAGGGCTGATGGCGGCGCCTACAATACTGTGGGACAAAAGTCGGCGCCAACAACACTGTTCGGGCTTTGTCAGGTCAGAAAGGGCTTAAAGCGCCCGTCCCGTCGTATCCTGATAGTACCTTCCTATAGGCATGCAGGGCATGGCCCTCGGTACTGCGGTTTGACTTGAATGTCTTGTCGTACCCTATGCTTGTATTTATGAAGGAACATGGTGTAGCCGTCGGGCGAGGCAGAGCCAGCTCACAGCCATCGGGCGAGGCGAAGCCAGCCCTCAGCCGTCGGGCGAGGCGGAGCCAGCCCTCAGGCGTCCGCGCGAGGCGGAGCCCGCCCTCAGCCGTCCGGGCGAGGCGGAGCCAGCCCTCAGACTTTGGGCATGGTGAAGCTAGCCCGCAGGTGTTCGGGCGAGGCGGAGCCAGCCTTTAGCCACCGGGTGAGGTGGAGCCTTAGCCCTCGGGGGTCGGGCGAGGCGGAACCAATCTTCCGTTGTTCGGGGAAGAAGCGTAGTAGCGTTCTTGTCTGACCAGAAGCGTCAACGTTCAATGGTTATTACTCCCACCTTATCGGGTACCCCGGTATTAGGTCTCGAACAGTAGCCCCCGAGCCCTCGGGAGAATCGGATAGAATCCCCCCGGGGGGTATTTTGACTTGCCAGAGGGTGCGCGCGAGCGCACCCGACGGGTGTAGCCCCCAAGCCCCCGGGTGATTCGGGCAGAATCGCTCGGGGGGTATTTTGATTCGTTAGAGGGTGCGCGCGAGTGCACCTGTCGGGTGTAGCCCCCGAGCCCCCAGGTGATTCGGACAGAATCGCCTGGGGGTAATTTTGGATCCTTCGCGGGTATGGCTATGAGATTTGGTTTTTTGTCAATCTGGACGGTTTGAAGGAAATCCTGGTATCCCGTTCACGGGGATTCGCCCAGGGTTTGCCCGATTGGAGTTTGATTGCGCATCGAGGCTCCCTTGAGGCTTGCGTGCCTGAGTCCTGGTCGCTCGTGGGCCCAACCCTCGTTGGGATGGTCGTCGAGATTGTTGGGCCAGCCCTTGGACTCCTAGGCCCAGGCGGGCCGTAGAAGAGGCCTTTTGACCCGCATCCCCTCTCTGGGAAAAAGAGTCTTGGTCTACTTGGGAAGGCGAACCGTCCGGCGCGATTTTGGTGGGAAAGGATAGGGATCATGGGTGCGTATCCCACGACGTGACGTGGAGGTGTGTCATGGTAGGCATGGAGACCTAGGCGGGCGGTTGCTCTTCTCGCATCCATCGCCCCTATAAAACCGAGGGGTTCGCCCCCAGGGTTCCGTACTTGGCCACTTCGCCTTTGCATCAACAACCTCCACCACCAACCGCCTGAGCCTCTGCACTCGCATCGTAGCTGCCGTCAAGCTTGCATCCGTATCGCAGCCGCTGTTAAACTCGCATCCACCCCCTCCCAATCGTTTCAATGGAGCCATGGTGCAGATCCAGCATCACCCCTCAGCGCCTGGAGTGCCTCGTTCACCGTGGCCTCCTTCGCCCGCTGACCGCCACCGAGGAGTGGTGGTTGCCCGGTGATGAGGATGGGCTGTCGTTGCCCGAGGGGTATGTCGTGTCCTTCGCTCACTTCCATGAGCGGGGATTCGCCATACTTGCTCACCCGTTCCTCCGGGGGCTATTGGATTATTACCAGGCGGAGCTGCAGCACCTGACTCCCAATGGGGTTCAGCACATTGCGGCGTTCGTCGCCCTGTGTGAGGGGTTCCTGGGAATTAGTCCCCACTTTGATCTGTGGCGGCATTTCTTTGCTGTCACCCTGTCGAAGAAGCGGGTTGGGAAGCAAGAGCTGAGCATGCCGATGGGATGTGCCAGCATTCATCTGCGCAACAACCGAGCGAATGACTATCCGTCGATGCATCTGTCAACCTCCAACAAGGGGTGGCATTCGCATTGGTTTTATGTCAAGGACAACGTGGCCGCCCCCTTGCCAGTGTTCTCCGGGCGTATCATCGAAGAGGTCCCGGGGTCGTGGAAGTGGGGTGTCCTGGACAAAGACAAGAAGAGGATCAAGGACCATCTCTCCACCCTCCAGATTCTACAGGAGAGGGGCATGAAAGGATCGGGGATCATCGGCGCCTACCATACGCGGAGGGTGGCGCCACTGATGAGCCACGTGCTTCCCCTGTACCTGATGGTGCCTAGGGCATCGCTCGAAGGGACGACGCTTGTCGATGAAGCACTCCCCCATGGAAGTGGTGCAGCGCATCAAGGAGGCGATGGAGCCTATGAAGGACAACACCGGCGTTGTCCTTGATTTCGTGTATCTGGTGCCGGGGCATCCCCCAATGCGGCCAGAACCGGGGTTCATTGACTTTGTAAGTTCTTTTCCCCGTGTCTCCTTTTTTCTTGAATTCCTAGCCCCTTGACGCTGACCTTGGGATAGCGGGACCAGCCGCAGAGACTCGTTCTCGGGGATTGCCTGGCTCCGCTGCCGAAGGACAGAATCCTGGCGACGGCGAATCGCACCGTGGCTGAGTGGGATAGGAGGACGAGGGAGCTCAAGAAGAAGAAGATGCTACGGAAGCAGCAAGCATGAGATCGAGGAGAGAAGACAGGCAGTGACGACAACGACGAGGAGTTTGATGAGGTAGTAGCCGACATGGATTAGGATGTCCTGGAGGGTGATGATTCGCTGACAGGCACCCGATTGTCCACGTAGGGACCCTTCCCATTCCATGCGGGGGAAAGTGAGTCCATGAGGACGGCGGAGGCGGGCCAAACCATGGGCCCGTCCTTGGGACCGACGGGAGTGGGCGGGTCCGCCGCTGCGTTCGGGGTGCCGACGGAGGACCGGTGGATGGGGGGAGGCGGATCTGCTGCCTCGC